TGCACTTGAGAAAAAGGTGAAGTTGATTGTTTTGGGGTGAAATGTCCTATAGATATCAATTAGGTCTAGTTGGTCCATTGTGTCATTTAAGGTTTGTGTTTCCTTGTTGATTTTCTGTTTAGTTGATCTGTCCATAGTTGTGAGTGGGGTATTAAAGTCTCCCACTATTATTGTGTTGCTATTAATTTCCTCTTTCATACTCGTTAGCGTTTGCTGTACATATTGCGGTGCTCCTATGTTGGGTGCATATATATTTATAATAGTTATATCTTCTTCTTGGATTAATCCTTTGATCATTATGTAGTGTCCTTCTTTGTCTCTTTTCACATCCTTTATTTGAAAGTCTGTTTTATCTGATATGAGCATTGCTACTCCTGCTTTCTTTTGGTCTCCGTTTGCGTGAAATATTTTTTTCCAGCCCTTCACTTTTAGTCTGTATGTGTCTCTTGAGGTGGGTCTCTTGTAGACAGCATATATAGGGGTCTTGTTTTTGTATCCATTCAGCCAATCTTTGTCTTTTGGTTGGGGCATTCAACCCATTTACTTTTAAGGTAATTATTGATATGTGTGGTCCCGTTGCCATTTACTTTGTTGTTTTGCGTTCACATTTATACAGCCTTTCTGCATTTCCTGTCTAGAGAAGATCCTTCAGCATTTGTCGAAGAGCTGGTTTGGTGCTGAATTCTCTCAGCTTTTGCTTGTCTGTAAAGCTTTTGAATTCTTCATATCTGAATGAGATCCTTGCTGGGTACAGTAATCTAGGTTGTAGGTTATTCTCTTTCATTACTTTAAGTATGTCCTGCCATTCCCTTCTGGCCTGGAGGGTTTCTAATGATAGATCAGCTGTTATCCTTATGGGAATCCCTTTGTGTGTTATTTGTTGTTTCTCCCTTGCTGCTTTTAATATTTGTTCTTTGTGTTTGATCTTTGTTAATTTGATTAATATGTGTCTTGGGGTGTTTCGCCTTGGGTTTATCCTGTTTGGGACTCTCTGGGTTTCTTGGACTTGGGTGGCTATTTCCTTCCCCATTTTAGGGAAGTTTTCAGCTATTATCTCCTCGAGTATTTTCTCATGGCCTTTCTTTTTGTCTTCTTCTGGGACTCCTATGATTCGAATGTTGGGGCGTTTCACATTGTCCCAGAGGTCCCTGAGGTTGTCCTCATTTCTTTTGATTCTTTTTTTCTTTTTTCCTCTCTGCTTCATTTATTTCCACCATTTTATCTTCTACCTCACTTATCCTATCTTCTGTCTCCGTTATTCTACTCTTGGTTCCCTCCAGAGTGTTTTTGATCTCATTTATTGCATTATTCATTTTTAATTGACTTTTTTATTTCTTCTAGGTCTTTATTAAACATTTCTTGCATCTTCTAAATCTTTGTCTCCAGGCTGTTTATCTGTAACTCCATTTTGTTTTCAAGATTTTGGATCATTTTTATTATTATTCTAGATTCTTTTTCAGGTAGATTCCCTATCTTCTCTTTAGTTTGACTTGGTGCGCATTTTTCATGTTCCTTTACCTGTTGGGTATTTCTCTGCCTTTTCATCTTGTTTAGATTGCTGTGTCTGGAGTGGGCTTTCTGTATTCTGGAGGTCTGTGGTTCCTTTTTATTGTGGAGGTTTTACCCAGTGGGTGGGGTTGGACGATTGGCTTGTCAAGGTTTCCTGGTTAGGGAAGCTTGCGTCGGTGTTCTGGTGCGTGGAACTAGATTTCTTTTCTCTGGAGTGCAATGGAGTGCCCAGTAATGAGTTTTGAGATGGGTCTATGTGTTAGGTGTGACCTTGGGCAGCCTGTATGTTGACGTTCAGGGCTATGTTCTTGCGTTGCTGGAGAATTTGCGTGGTATGTCCTGCTCTAAAACTTATTGGCTCTTGGGTGGTGGTTGGTTTCAGTGTAGGTATGGAGGCTTTTGGACGGTCTCTTATTACTTAAAGTTCCATGTAGTCAGGAGTTTTCTGGTGTTCTCAGGTTTTGGGCTTAAGTCTCCTGCCTCTGGATTTCAGTTTTATTCTTCCAGTAGTCGCAAGACTTCTCCAACTATTCAGCACTGATAATAAAACTTCTAGGTTAATGGCGAAAAGATTCTCCCCCATGAGGGACACCCAGAGAGGTTAACAGAGTTACATGAAGAAGAGGAGAGGGAGGAGGGAGATAGAGTGAGCAGGAGGAGAAAAAGGGGGACTCAAGAGGAGAGAGACAGATCTACACAGTTGTCTGTTCCCAAAGTGTTCTCCATAGCCCAGACACCCACAAAGATTCACAGAATTGGATTGGGAAGAGAAGGGGAAAGGAGGAAAGAGAGATGTTCTGAGGTAGGAAACGGAGAGTCAAGATTGGGAGAGAGTAATCAACACACTCCTGAATAGAAATGGGAACTGAATATTGGATTCTTAAATGTCCACAATTTATATCATATACTGAAAAACAAAGATTAAATATCTAGAGTAGAGGTTAGACTCTTAAAAATGCAATATTAAAAACAAAAACCAAAACACAAAAATTTTAGAAATATATATGAAGTTCGGTTTAAAAATAGGCCTTCTCCTTTTTTTTTGTAAGGTTATAGTGTAATAAAAATGAAAATTAAGGAGTAGTAGAGGAGTAATAGAGGACTTTAAAAGGAAATAAGAGAAAAAAAATAGAAAATAGACGAGAAAAAGAAAAAAAAAGAAAAAAATTTTTTCCTAATTAAAAAAATCATAAAAATCTATGAAAATGAAATTTAAGGAGTAATGGGGGAGTAATAGGGAATTTTAAAAGAAAATAAAAGAGAAGAAAAAAAATTTTTTTAACTTAAAAAAAAAAAGTAAAAATATATCTAGGAATTTCTCTTAAGCTGTTGCGGTCAGTGTGGGTTCGGTTCAGTTTCAGATAGCTCCTCGTTCCAGCTTATACTTCTCGATATCTACAGGCCCCTTCCGGTGTAGTCGGTGTTATCTACAGGGATTTTAATCTGTTGCACTGGTCCCTTCTGAAGCGGTTCCCTTTGTTTATTTGGGTTCTGTTTGCCGGTCTCTTCAGTGCCTAATTTCTGCCCTGACACAGGCGGGCGGAGGTGGTCTCTTATCCAGGTTGCTAGTTCCGTCGCGCTGCAGGGAGGGGCTGGCGCTGCTTTCCCGTCTACGCTGCTCAGGCTCCCGGCTGTTGTATATGGAGCGTGCTCTGCGCTGTGCGCGGTTCCAGCCATCGGGTGCTCCACAAAAGCCCGGAACAAAAAGCCGCGCCTGCTTTTTGTGCCTTCCCCGTCCGAGCGGCTCAGGCAGCCAGGAGCTTGACGGGCGCACTCTCCCCGGGTGCGGGTGCGGCACGCCTTCTCCCCTCCGCGGTCCCAGCCCCAGTCCCCGCCCGCGCAGTTCGGGTGCCTGCGCCCTGTGTCTTGCCACGACCCTCCCGGCAGATGTCGACCATCCAGAATCTCAGGAAGTCTTTGATTAGAAACTGGCGGCCTGTTTGCAGTGCGGTAGGGGATGCGGTCCTTGGGGCCGAGCCTGCCCCTTTCCCCTCCTCCCTACCTCCTGCCTCCGGCGGGGCGGCGGGGCTGGGTCGGTCCGCAGCCTGCAAGCTCTTCTCTGGACTTGCTCGGTCCCTTTGTTCTGCAAACGGCAGGCAGTGTGTTAGGGCCGCTTAATTATCTCTCGCTATCCCACAGTTTAAGTTGGTAACTCACAAAAGCTCCCTCCGATTGTCCTCAGGGCACTCAGGCCCGGTCCTTACCCTAAGCAATGCTGCCCACTCCTCTCCGTTCCGCCCCCACTTGCTGGTGGCGGATGCGGGCGTCTGGGGTACTTTTCTGCTGGGAGTTGCTTTTAGGCAGGTGATCTGTGGGTTTTATTTATTGTTCCCCTCCCAGTCAGGTTGCCCTCCGAGATTCAAAAACTTCCCCCAGACCCGCCAGTGCCAGGGTCTCCTGGTGTTTGGAAACTTCCTCTATTGAGACTCCCTTCCCAGGACGGATCTTCGTCCTTAGGTCTTTTGTCTCTCTTTGTATCTTTTATATTTTGTCCTACCTCCTTTCAAAGACAATGGGTTGCTTTTCTGGGCGCCTGATGACCTCAGCTAGCGATCAGAAGTTGTTTTGTGAAGTTTGCTCTGCGTTCAATTATTCTTTTGATGAATTTGTAGGAGAGAAAGTGGTCTCCCCGTCCTATTCCGCCATCTTGGCTCCTCCTCCTTTCTCTACATTTTGGAAATTTTAATTAAACTGAAGTGTTAATACTGAAGTTTAAATTCATGATTATTTTATGCTTGATAAAGATGAATTTGATATCTTTTCATCAGTTTCTGAAGTATTTTAAGAAAAATTCTCCCACTAGAAGCTTTATATGCTCTACTAAAATGTAGTGGTTGAGCAGAGGAAAGGGGACGAATTAGTACCCTGGGAGCCCTGGCACTGTTGGAGCAACAGGGTAGATTTAGCATCAAAATCTGCATCTCACAGGTGAAGGTAGCTATCTGAAAATACAGTCGGGCATTTACTACAATTTGAATAGTCCATTAAATGTTGGTATCCTTTCAGAACATTGCATTGAGTCATAAGTCTTAATTTTATGTTAATACTACTAGAAAAGTCATCTTTTAAAGGAGGAAAAAAGTAACTATCTAAGACAAGACGAGGATGGTTACATTTTAATTAATTGACATCTAAGAGCCTTTGTCAGAGTCACCCAGTGGTGTATTGAGAAGTAGTGACTCTTTCCTCAGTGTATCTGGCATTGACTGCTTCAGAATGTTAATGGTTTTATTTTGCCAATGAGTCTAAACAGGGAAGGTAATCTCCCTGAGGTTCCAGGAGTCATCACAAACTTGTGTAAGCTCCTTCAGTACTTTTATGTCAAATTTAAATTAGTATAGCTGATCCATTTTAAGAAATCCCTTACTACTTAACAGTAGATAAGCCATTGGTGTCTGGTAAATACAGAAACAGTATTGGCTCTAGATATTTAGAATTAATTGTAAAACATTTAGAAAAGCATGCACAATATGTATCTTTTTTTCATGCAGTTGCTGTGATTGGCTGATAAATATTTGTCAAAGAAAGAGAGAATTGAAAGCTCGTACGGTGTGGCTTGGATGTCCGGAAAAGTGTGAAGAAAAACATCCCAGAAATTCTATAAAAAATCAGAAATATAATATATTTACCTTTATACCTGGGGTAAGATTGTTAAATTCTTGAAAATGCACTGGATATTGAAGGTTACTAACTTTGTTCTCATTTTTTTTCTCTCATTAATTCTGTCATATCCAAATCAGAGACCTTTGAACCATGGGTGTTCAGATAATTGTGAAATAATTCATATACTTCTCCTCTTCTTTTTTTGTTCTCATGTATGTTATTAATAGCCACATAGTAGAGTTCAACTCAAGAAAATTTATAGTCTGATTATTGCCTTCAGTTCCAGATAACCATCACATTTATATCGTTGTAGAAATAATCAAATAAAGGTAAATAAAATTACCAGAAAATAAGTCATAAATTTTGACTGGGAATTTGTGTGGAGGGAAAGGTTGAGTGTATATAACATTTAAAGCCTGCTAAGGCTGTCACTCAAGCGCATTTCTGGCTCAGTCTCTGTGGCGTCTCTGGGTCCTGCTGCACACTAGGTTTGTTTGAGCCCTCTAAGCGTCTCTGTTGGGTAAGGGATTTGATTCTAAATGTGATTTCACCCCTCCTGCCGTCTTGCTGGGGCTTCTCCTTTGCCCTTGGATGTGGGGTATCTTTTTAGTAGGATCCAACATTCTCCAGTCAACAGTTGTTCAGCAGGGAGTTGTAGTTTTAGAGTTCTCGCAGGAGAAGGAGAAGATGAGCCTCTCGATGAAAGTGAAAGAGGAGAGTGAAAAAGTTGGCTTAAAACTCAACATTCAGAAAACTAAGATCATGGCATCCAGTCCCATCACTTCATGGCAAATAGATGGAGAAACAGTGGAAACAGTGGCAGACTTTATTTTTTTAGGCTCCAAAGTCACTGCAGATGGTCTGCAACCATGAAATTAAAAGATGCTTGCTCCTTGGAAGAAAACTTATGACCAACCTAGACAGCATATTAAAAAGCAGAGACATTACTTTGCCAACAAAAGTCCGTCTAGTCAAGGCTATGGTTTTTCCAGTAGTCTTGTATGGATGTTAAGAGCTGGACTATAAAGAAAGCTGAGCACCAAAGAATTGATGCTTTTGAACTGTGGTGTTGGAGGAGACTCTCAAAAGTCCCTTGGACTGCACGGAGATCCAACCAGTCCATCCTAGAGGAGATCAGTCCTGAATATTCACTGGAAGGACTGATGCTGCAGCTGAAATCCAGTTCTTTGGCCACCTGATGCGAAGAATTGACTCTTTTGAAAAGACCCTGATGCTGAGAAAGATTGAAGGTGGGAGGAGAAGGGGACGACAGAGGCTGAGATGGTTGGATGGCATCACTGACTCAATGGACATGAGTTTGAGTAAACTCCGTGAGTTGGTGATGGACAGGGAGGCCTGGCGTGCTGCAGTCCATGGGGTTGCAAAGAATCAGACACAACTTAGTGACTGAACTGAACTGAACTGATGAAGTCCAGTGGCGTCACAATCAAAGTAAAATAACTTTTTACACAAACATGACTGAGTAACAAAATATCTATAAGCACTTTTAGATTTATTTTCTGCTTCACATTATACATTTCAGGCCTTGTTTTTTTTTTTTTTTTCATTTATTTTTATTAGTTGGAGGCTAATTACTTTACATCATTGCAGTGGTTTTTGTCATACATTGAAATGAATTAGCCATGGATTTACATGTATTCCCCATCCCGGTCCCCTTGTTTTGTTTTTATATCAGTAGTTATCTTTAATTAGGTATTATGCTAAATTTCTGAAATTTAAATATTTATTACTTTTTGTTGTTGCCAGTGATATTTTTGTCTTAAATTATAAAGCTGAGATTATATGTATTTAGAATAGTTGGTTTATTTTTGCCTCATTCCCTATTTTAATAGATTTATTTATCTTTTTAAAGGTGAAAGAAAGCTGGTGCTGATTATTTTTCCATTATCGAAGTTTTTAACACATTTTAAGTATTAGGTCTTACGCTCTTTTGCAAAAAATACTCAATTGTGTGAAATGAGGGCTCCTTTAGCTTTCATGTTTTTATTTAAATAACCATGCTGACTTTATATTGGACATTGATTAGCATCACTATCCACCCGAATCTATCCAATAGTTGTCAGATGCTTGATGTCTAATATGCTTCTTTATTAAAACACACAAAACTAATGCCTCCATAGTTAAAAGACTGCTCTTTTGTCAGGACAATAAAATGTAAACTCTCTTCCAGGCAGATAAATATCCTCATCTTTATTGAATGAAGCTACTGTTTTCTCCTTAGGTTTAAATTATTAAATACTCCCAGATTGGCTAAATACTGTACATTTTCCTGACGCCCTCTGAGTTCACTCAGCAAACAATAGAGTCTTGATTGCAGTGTCCAGGGTGAGCAGTGCAGCTTAGTTTTGATCCCAAGTGAGTTCAGGCAGCCTTCAGGATGGTTGTCCTGAAGAGACCTGTTGATGTGTCTGTACTACTGTTACCGTGGGAATGACTTTTTCCTTAGATTATCTCTTAAATTAGTCTTTTCATCTAAAATGTAGTATTTTAGAAACATTTGGTAATTGCACAGTAGGAATTCTATGCCATTTTTAGCACGAATGGCAATTTCTGAATTGCTAATAGATATAATTTATGCTAACTGAGATTTTAAAGAAATCACTGAGGAAAAAGAGAGCTTTCTTTCCTGCTGAGATTAATTTATGAAATGATTCAAAACATTTTAGACAGCAATTGAATGTGATTATAAATATAAACGTGTTATCAATGTAACTGATTTTTCAGTCACACACATAATTGTGTGATGATGTATACAGCTTCATTATATAAAAACTGTGATTCCAGCCTCTTTAAGTCAACAATAAGTACTTAACCCATTGCTCTGCCCTTGTTAAAATTTGCATGCCTTCCAAGTTGTATTTAAAACTGGCATCCAAGGAGATTTTGATTTACAGTTTGCAAGTTTGTAAGTTTCATTATAATTGTAGTGTGCTATTTAAGGTATTCCCATCTATAAACACAAGTTTTCTTCCATTTTGATTTTCAATTTAAATCTAATAAGTGAGGCATTTTTGGATAGAAGTCTGTTAATATACTAGGTCTTGGATTTTCTTAAGGATTATTCTGTTTGAATTAAGAAACAAAGATGAAAATATAGGATTTGCATTCCTAAAAGACGTTATTGAATGATGATTTTAATTTAGTTTATATTTGAAAATATTGTTTAAAATCAACTACCAAGAGACTATAAAGAAATACAGGTAGTTTTCTTCATAAAAATTGGTGTATAATTTACATATTTTTGTGTGTTTTCATTTCTTATACTTTGAGGGAAGTAAATGCAAGAGATTAGTGTTTTTATGTGTGTGAATGCATACCTATAGATGGCTTGCTTATTCACTGGATCTTTTTGAAGCTACCTAATGTTCACATTCAGAAAATGTGGCTGTCATGTGTGAGTGTTTCAGTTCAGTTCAGTCACTCAGTCGTGTCCAACTCTTTGCGACCCCATGAATTGCAGCACGCCAGGCCTCCCTGTCCATCACCAACTCCTGGAGTTTACTCAAACTCATGTCCATCGAGTTGGTGATGGCATCCAGCCATCTCATCCTCTGTCATCACCTTCTCCTCCTGCCCCCAATCCCTCCCAGCATCAGGGTCTCTTCCAATGAGTCAACTCTTCGCATGAGGTGGCCAAAGTATCGGAGTTTCAGCTTCAACATCTGTCCTTCCAGTGAACACCCAGGACTGATCTCCTTTAGGATGGACTGGTTGGATCTCCTTGCAGTCCAAGGGACTCTCAAGAGTCTTCTCCAGCCCCACAGTTCAAAAGCATCAATTTTTTGGCGCTCAGCTTTCTTCACAGTCCAAGTCTCACATCCATACATGACCACTGGAAAAACCATAGCCTTGACTAGATGGACTTTTGTTGGCAAAGTAATGTCTCTGCTTTTTAATATGCTATCTAGGTTGGTCATAACTTTTCCTTCCACTTCATAAATATAGGGTTGCACCACTTTCCCAAAAGATTTTCTGAATTTATGACTTACTAACATTGGGAAGCTTTTCCTGTGTGTCTTGAGTGATATGAATGTAAAGATTTATGAAAGATGAATGTGGAAAACTGGAAGACTGCATACAAGGAAACAAAACCAAAAGGTTTAACATATTTGAAAGTTCTCTTTTTTTCAGTTTATTTTAAATATAATTTGAGGTAATCTTAGCTCTTTTCTGTGATTTAGTTATAGGAAAGCCATTGTCAAAATTAAGTTTATTGTGACTTGGCATATTCTCACTGTTAGTAGAAATATAGTTAGATATTATGCTGATTTTAATTATTTAAGGTTTGAAAGATTTTTCTTGAAGAGATTATATTAATTTTTTTTTCTTTTTCTTTTTAGGTTTTATATGAACAATTCAAGTTTTTCTTGAATCTCTATTTTCTGATAGTATCCTGCTCACAGTTTGTACCAGCATTGAAAATAGGGTATCTCTACACCTACTGGGCTCCTCTGGTAAAAAGAAAAGATTTTGAAATTAAGTTAAATCATTAAGTATTTAGAATACAGTTTTAAAAGTTCAGGTGATTAAAAGATAAATTGATCAGATTTTTGAAATGTGACATTGTTGCTGTGTGTCACTGCACTTTGTTAAAGGGTTTCTAGAGTCCTCTGCCACGACTAAGCAACTTCACTTTCACTTTTCACTTTCATGCATTGGAGAAGGAAATGGCAACCCACTCCAGTGTTTTTGCCTGGAGAATCCCAAGGACGGGGGAGCCTTGGTGGGCTGCCGTCTGTGGGGTCGCACAGAGTTGGACACGACTGAAGGGACATAGCAGTAGCAGCAGCAGCAGAGTCCTTTGCAGCCCTCCAGCTACGTCAGCTGGAGACATTACAAAGCACTTTTGCTGGCGGGGCTGGGGGCACTCTTGGGCCCCAGCGGGGCAGCTCCGTGTCCCAGCCCAGCTCCCTCCTGTGCTGGGAGAGAGCAGGCGCCGTGTGCAGAGTAGGTGTCTGGCAGAGGGCACAGCAGTTGCAGTTGCACGAGGTCCTTGCGTTCTGCTGGAGTGTGTGGACATGCAGCTGTGGTGGGAGGGCCCCACAGGGGTGGTGAGCTGTTGGGTTTCCTCCTGAGTGGGATGCGGCCCGTGTCTGTGTGTGCACGGGTCACTTGACGGGGTGCCCTCAGGCTGACCCCGCAGTCCTAACCAGCCACACAGATGTGCAGCGGAAACACAGGCGACTTCTGCTTTGTTTTCTCTCTCTTTTCTCCTCACTGGAGGTAATTTTCTGATGTTTAAACTTGAAGTACATATTAAGATGTGAGTTTTAAAACTTTTTTTGGGTCATTGAGAATTGTAAATCTTATTCTGTGTATTACTGTGTTCCTTTTGTAGTGTTTATTTTTGTCATTTTTTGTTTTCATTTATTATATGCTTTACAACTAGTATAAATTGAAGGAAAAATGTAAAACTAAATAGTAAAAGAATTTCCCCTTTTTTGTTAAAGTCCAATTTTCTCAAATACTATGTTTTATTTTGTTTAAAGGGGTTTGTCTTGGCTGTTACTATCATGAGAGAAGCAGTTGATGAGTTTCGGCGTTTCCAGCGAGACAAGGAAGTGAACTCACAACTGTACAGCAAGCTTACAGTAAGAGGTGAGCAAGACACTTTTAATCCAGTTTACCGTTGGTTCATGTGATCATCATTCTAGAATGAGCATAAATGCAAGAAAACATCTTAGTTTTGTTACTGAAAATAGTATTATGCAGTTACATGTTACCTAATCAATTTTCCTGTGATAATATGATGCATATGATTTCAGGATAGATTTTTATTCTCTCGATGCTTGAATGTATGTATGTATATATTAATATAAATGTATATACATGCCCTTAAACACATGCATGCACATGTCTGTATACAGGTGTGTATGTATATATATATGCTTATATATAAATATATGCTCTGTTACAGTTTGTATAGAATGCTTGTGTACTAGACACACATGAAACCCAACTTATGTGTACACATTGTAAAGCATAGCATCATCTCATTTAAAGTCTCTCTTTGCAGTCTATTTTAAACACAGTCATCAAGACCAGACATCTGGTCCCATGGCCTGAAACTCTACTTGGGAAATAGGACTTTGAGCACCTGAAACAAATGTCGAGATCCAACATGGAAACCGACATGTGCTGGTTCCCCCACACGCTTCACTTGGGCTTGCACCCTTGTCTGGTTTATGTGTTATGAGTTGTTTATTTGGTTTTCAGTCTACTGTAGAAAAGAGGCAGTGTGATAGGAAGAGAATGTATGAAGCTATTATGATAAGCATGAGGACAGGAAAAGGTGCCAGAGAGAAACTCCATGAAGATTGATAGCACCTCAGAGCCTGTCTGAAAGCGGAGTTCAGATGGAGCAAGTTTTAGTCCCTTGTTGGATATATATGATTTGGAACTATGTTGTCTCGTTCTGTGGGTTGTATTTTTTTTTTCCTTCTTGACGGTGTTCCCTGATGCACAAAAGTTTTTATTTTCATTAAGTCCCAAGTTCATCTTTTTTTTTTCTTTGGTTGCTTATATTTTGGGGTTGTATCTAAGAAATAGTTTGCCAACCCAAAGTTGCAAAGATCTACTTCCATGTTTTCTTTTAGGAATTTTATAGTTTGAGTTCTTACATTCAGGTGTATGACCCATTTACATTTCGTATATGGTATCGCCTCACATTCTTTTGCATGTGAATACCAAGTTGTCCCAGTATCATTTGTTGAAAATATTATGCTTTCTTAATTGAATTGAAAAATTAATTATTAACAAGCTTTGATGCTTTAAATATTGGCATAAAAAAGAAGGTAAGCTTTAGTTTTGGGGAAAAGACTATCCAGAATGGCCAGGTAAATTAGGTATAACTTTGGTTCATCTGTTTTAGAATACAGTATAGATCTTGGCTTATGTTTTCTGTTGTTTTATATTGTGGAATTTGGGCTGAGCAGAGATTTGTTTCTGTGTACTGATTGTATCATTCACAAATGAACAGTGCAGTGATGTCAGCAAAATGAAGAGTAGGCAGCTCCACAGTTCAGTCAGGACCTGGCAGAGCTAACTTGTCAGAACTCTGAAAAACGTCAGCAGCATCTAGGGGATTATTGAATCCAGGAAAAGGCCACTTGAAAATAGTAGGAAAGCTCTTTGGTGTTTTCACCTGCCCCTGCTCTACCCTGTCCCCGTCACGGCACCCTCCTTGAAGATGGCAACAGCCAGACCCTAATTTGGGACTCTGGATGCTGACAGCTCTGCCAGGTCCTGAAGAGTGTGGAGCAGAACTCATTTGTGGTGAACCGTTTTTGTCTGTCTAACCTGTGTGGGTGCTGCCCAAAGGACTGACCAGTTGGCTTGTCTGTCTCTCACCTAACGTGCGACTCTGGGCAGGAAAGCTGCAGGTGTTTCTTGTTGTGTAGGCTGGGGTCCAGCTGCAGCGGCGGGGCAGAGATCACAGCCGGGCTCACACACTATGTCACAGCCAGGCAGGAAGAATAGGGAGGGGATCTAAAGTGCCTGTGTTGGCCCGGGGCAGGGTTGGGGAGGGGTTTGAAAGCCACGCTCAAGGCTGGATGCAGGCTCAGGGCAGGCAGAAGCGAAGGATGAGGCGAAGCTGAGACCAGGGCTCCCGCACAGAACCATGGTCTGCAGAGGCTGTGAGCAGCTGTGCCTGCTCCTGTCTTCGTCCTTGCTCCCTTCGCTTCCTCCCTCCACCACCTCCTTTTTCCTCACATGCAAGGAGATCTCTTTCAAACACTGGTTGAATATAAGCTAAAGTAAGAAAGACTTGAGAGACCACATGTGACAAAGAATACATACTTTACAAAAATAGTTTAGAAAAGTCACTAGATATACATGGCTACAGCATATACTAAGCAGCAAAACAAACCCAAAAGGGGGAAATATTTCATTTCCTGAGTTAGCAGATGATAATACTCAAAATGTCTGGGTTTCCACCAAAAATTACAGAGAATGCATTTCACAGAAGACATTAACAAAAACTGTCTCTGAGGAAGCCCAGACATTGGACTTCCTCGATAGACATGACTTCCTCATCCACCTCAGTTATGTTCTGAAGCTAAGGAAGATAGTGGACAGATGCTGAAAGATACCAGAGCAGTGTGTTGGCAGATAGAGCATATCTATAAAGGTATGTCAGTATTTTAAAAAAGCAAGAAATTCTGGTACTGAAAAATACAGTAAATGAAAGAGAAACTCACTAGAGACTTTGAGTAGCAGAATTGAGCTGGCAGGAGAAAGATGAGTGAGCTGAGCCTCCGGTCCCTGAAAATGGTCCAGCCTGAGGAGCAGGGAGTAGAAGGAAGAGCAGTGAGAGGTCCTGAGAGGCTTGTGGGGCAGCATCAGGGGCACTGAGGTGCCCAGTGGAGTGTGCGCTGAAGAGGAGATGGGGGATGTGAAGGGATGTGGCCATTGACCCCCAAGTTTTGACAAAAGATACAAATCTACACATTGAGAAGGTTCCCAGGAGGGTCAGAGTGGAGACCCACACCGAGACATAGCATCATCACATGGTCTAAACCCCGGGGCCACGAGCACAGCCTGCGAGCAGCTCGAGAGGCGGCTCCTCCAGTGACAAGCATGCTGCGGGCTTCTCATCAGAAACCAGAGGACAGAAGGAGTTGGAGAAGGGAAAACTGTCAGCAGAAATTCTGTATCTAGTAAAGCTGTCACTCAGAAGTGAAGGCGAAATGAAGACCTGCCCAGATAAATTTAGAATTAAGGATAGGAGCTCAAGCAGATGCACACACACCCCTGCTCATCACAGCACTACATAGGGTCGGCAGAAGGCAGTGACGTCGGTTGTCTGTCAGTGGATGAAGGGCGAGGGATTGATGGTCTCTTCATAGCCTGGGATATTATTCAGCTATAAAAGTTAATGAAATACTGATACATGCCAGAACGTGAATGAACCCTGAAAATGCTGTGCTGTGTGAGAGAAGCCAGGTACCAGAGGTGGTGTATTGTGCGATGTCGCTCTTGAAACTCACAGAGCAGGTAAGTTAATAATAGAGTGCAGGTGTGGCTACAGGGAAGCAGGGTTGGGGTGCAGTCCTCAGTGGGTGAGGGCTTCTCTGGCAGTGGCGAGCGTGTTGTGGAACTTGGTAGAGTTGGTTGTACAGTACTTTGAATGTAGTAAATGCCACTGAATTATTTACCTTAAAGTGGAAGCTTTTATGTCATTTTTATCTAAAATGGTATAAACTGTTAAGGAAGACAGATTAGTATATATCTTTTGTGTGGTTTAGTCAGTCATGTCCGACTCTTTGCTACCCCATGGACTGTAGCCTGCCAGGCTCCTCCATCCATGGGATTTTCCAGGCAAGAATACTGGAGTGGGTTGCCATTCCCTTCTCCAGGGGACCTTCCCTACCCAGGGATCGAATCTGGGTCTCCCATGTTGTAGGCAGATTCTTTACCAACTGAGCCAACCAGGGAAGCATATATCTTTTATAATTCTGTATTCTTTGAACTCAAAATACTCTTAAAACAATTTTACTAGTTTAATTTCAAATACAAATGAAAATTAACTTTTTAAAAAAATTGGTCATCGTTGCCTGTGACCTGAGCAGTGGACATTTCACACATGGGTGACAGTCACGCAGCTGGTGCTGATTGACGCCTGAGTGTGTCAGAGAAAGTGCCCCAGGCAGTGGCGTTGTCACAATGACAGTGAGTAGAATGGTCTGCCCTGAGTGGCCATCCTTCTGGGTGGAGTTTGTGTTTGAACCTGGACCCGTTGACCTCAAGTCCAGTGTTCTTTCATCTGTGGCATGTTGCTTTCTGGTTGGTTATTCTGCTAAAGATGATAGGTAAGTAAAATTTAGAATGTTAAAAAAAAATGGAGTTTATGCTTATTGCTGAGTACAGTTTAATATTTATTTTCTTATCAAGAATATTTGCTGCCTACTTAACTTCTAGTGTTTCACAGTTACCTATTCTTTGAATGGCATTGATGGCTCTTTCCTCTGTGATTCACTGTAGTCTATTGTAGCATTTTTCAGCATTTGAACTTTTCTTATTTGGGCTTCTCAGGCACATTCTTGTAGAAATACACTGAGAAAATTTTGTGTGTTGTATTTTTTTCTTTTGAAAAGGAAAACCACTTCCACTTGCTAACATCTTGTAGGCGCTGTGTTTGGAAGCAGAGAGTATTTTGACTGTGCACATGATCTCAGTGAATACTGAATGGTTTTTAGTTTGCTCTTTATTTCATTGCCTCATAAACTGCTTTTCTTGTGTGGGAATTTTCCATACCTGTTGGCTTCCACCTTCCTTCCTGTCTCCTTGTTTGTGACTGCTTGTGTTATGCTTTATCTCCTAGTGAGCAGCAACAGAGGAGAGTCACAGAAGAAAGTAATGTAGACTTTCCTGCTTCTTGGCAGCTTTTGCAAAAATTCCCGATGAAGAAGTTTGAATTGTGTGGCCATTCTGCTTTTGGATTCTTGGAATCAATGCTGTTTTTTTTCCTGTTGCTAAGGAGTGGTTTGTAGACTGTATACCTTGCTTGTCTTCTTCCAGTTGGCTAGGTCACAATTAATTTCCATATTTGTTTACTAAGTACCCACTGTGTGTCAGCTACCACACAATAAGCTCGT